TCCCTCCAGTCTTGCGACCCCTCGTAGGTCGCTGGCTAGCTATCCTCTCTAGAGCACTAACCAGCCCCATTGTAGTGTCTGTGCACTACACTGGCTGCCCCTTCTCCTGTCCCGCAACGGGTCACCGTTGCCACTGTTTCCTTTCAAAAGACTAATTTCTTTAAAATTTTTATTATTTCCTTCTGTAATGGCTCATGGAGGGGCTGCAAAGCCTTTAATTATATCTCTCCGATCACGCTGGATGTGGCTAATGGGTGAGCAGTGAATAGCAGCACGGACAGCACAGAGCTGGCAGAGTTCATGGAGGGAATTTGCCTGTTCCACTGCAAACCCTGGCATCTAAACACTATATACTTAGAAGAAAACATAGAAGGCACATTCCATTGCCATTATTGCGCAGTTTCCGTGGTGGGATCGAGGCTCACCGCGCCTGCACTTTAGTGTAGGCATTGTCCAAAGGGGAGAGGGTCCGCGCAGCACTTGGTGTTTTGGTCTCATGGGATACTGAACCAGTCATGAATTTGCCTAGCCGCGTTGCTTCGACCGCTGATTGAGCCTTTTGGCGTCGACTGTGGCTCCCTCAGTCACAGCCATGGCCTGTTCTAGACGCCGCCTGTAGTCCAACATAGTCACTGCAGCGTCTTGTCCAGCTGCCAGCCCATACTGCAACAATTTCAGTACCAAAAGCCTCCCGCTAGCCTGCAGCTGCAGCGGGCCTGCAGGGCGTTTATCCTTAGGATCATCTGTTACACTACGGTGCCGCAGTTGAGCGCCGGTTTTAACTAACAATCGAGCAGATTCACATGGCACAAGCATTTCGGATCCACTAGGCACGCAGCAGCAGCAAGTGAAGCATTTCTTAAGTGAAACTTCGTCGCTTCTTGTCAGTCCTGATATCCAAGAATTTGTGTCAATCAATGTCTGCGCAGCGGATTCTAGCAGTGGGATTAGCATCCCACTGCTAGAATCCGCTGCGCAGAGGTTTGCTCGAATTATGATGCATGCAAGCCTTCCTTGTTGTTGAGTTGAATGCTGGTGGTGGCTCTTCTGAAACCCTTGATACTGTTGGCTTAGCTGAAAAGTGGCGAAGGATGTAACAGCGCAAGCTGCATCAGCAGAAGCCTTGCCAGCGAATTGCTGCAGAGTGCCCTGATTTCAGCGTAAAATGAAATTTGGCACTCTATTTTCCGTTAGCAGGGGCATCTTATCGTGGAAATGTTTCTGCAGAAAGCGTTGATTTGAGATTAAGCACGCAGGCTCGCTACGGCCATCACTATGTCACTCTTCGAAAGTATAAGCTCGAGCACATTTGCCAAACGTGCGTTCACCGAAACAGTTTCAAAGGCCAGTAAGGAAATTCATGCAACTGCACCCTCGTTTAGGCAGGCCAAATAATCTAGCTAAGGCCAGTAAGAGGTTGTACAACACGCTTGTTAAATAACACAGAGATTCCACTCCAAATATGAGTAAGAAGCATTCCGTTCGACATTTTCCTCAAAGTAATACTGTATACTCAAGTGACGTAGCACTGTTTGGACTACGTTCAAGTCTTTCACCTCAAAGAAACTAAAAGTAGCGAAGTTAGATGCGCTTGTTTACTTGAGGGGAAGGCTTGAATACGTAGATCCCGAGGAACACCTCTTCTTTCAGGCAGCAACAACAAGAGGATTGCACTCCCGCCTTTGTGCAGCAGAGACCCCACGGCCCCTACTTTGCAGAGAGGAAACGAGCATTGTACTTGTATTTTCACGGAATGCGTATGATGAGCAAATACTCACTCACCACAAGTAGTCTGTATATGCCGAGCTACGGGTTTCTGTAGTTCCGTGACCCTCAACTAAGGACCTTACAATTCATTTTCAACGTGATCTCTGCAACCCATGCCTCTTCGATGCACCTTGTCCTAAAAAATCACGTATTACATTGTTGTCAGTGAAAACATATCGTACAGGAAAAACAAATTGAATACCATGAATAGAGGCCCCAACGTAGCCGAATTATACGGATACCATTCAGCTCGAGCGCAGTGCAGTGGAACATCGGAAAACAAAGGTTTTATTAAGGCCAAGAGCAGCGCACAAGCGGCTGCTAGGCCAATAGGGCATGCAAATATAATTAAACTACAAGAAAGCCTGAAGTTAGTTTCTAATTTCGTGGAAGAGGACATCCCAGGGCTTCACTTGAAAACAGCAGAATCGAATCCCAGCTTGATCTGCAGACTCAAGCTTGTCCGCAACAAAGCTTCTGTAGGCAATTCTTTTGGCCATATTGTGCATGTTGAATGCCCCCTTCACAACACCTTTGAAAATTGGACAGCTGTCCCCTTTAGGGAAGTAGGCAGCTGCCAGCCTCGTGTGATTTGCGTTGGCAAGCTCACGTTTTTGGCAAACTCGGATGCAGCCGTAGGAATTTCAGATTTCTCTCAAGTAAGGAGAATAGAACACGGTAAGCCTTCACATTCTCGGTCTCGTGTGCAAAGGCTCCATTGCGAATGAACCAGAAGATGTTCTACCCTTTTGAGAAGACAGTGCCATACCGCTCATGCGATTGCCAACAAAAATAGAGGCACGAAAGCGTTCTGAAGTATGCACTTCTCTGTCGCATTGCAATTCACCGTTTCAGCAAGATGCGCCAAGAAGCAGCCACTATTTTTGAGGTTTCATCAGCTCAAGGTCGCCTGACCCTCATCAATCTGCAAACCCATGCTCTGAGCGGTGATGGTTCTGTACAATGCAATCATCGCCATTCGCATCTTGACCATCCCTCTCGTTACTCCGGATATTGTCTTCGCCTCAACTGCAGCGGTGTTTGCGTTCTCAAAGTCTGCATCGTAGAATTCCATGAGCTCTGCAACACGAGATTGGTTAGGGAATTCGCGTACTCTGGCATAGTTGCTCGCTTTTTGGAGTAACTCCATATCCTCCTCCAACAAGTCCAATAACTTGCTATCGAGCACAAGCAAACGGGCCTCTGCTTTTGCGTTCACTAACTGTGCCAGAACTTTTGTCAGTGTTTTCATAGCATCCAGAGCAGCTGCTGAATCATTTGCTGCCTGCGACTGATGGAAAGCAGCCCAAGACTGGCTCACGATTGTTCCCACTTTGCTTTTGATTGACCGCATTTGGCTTAGCACCTCGTCGAAAACTTCCGCTTGGAGCACGTGAAACATTTCTGTCAAGGACTGGTTGCCGACGTACACGCCTCTGGCAGCCCTGCATCTCACGCTTTCCAGGAAACGGGTCGCTGCATCACTCTCGAAAATGCATGCGTCATGAATGTGTTTGGCCATGCCTTTAAGCGTCTCTTTGCTAAGGCTTTCGGGGTCACCTGAGAGCCCCTCTAGAGAGTCAGCTACAGATTTTAGATCGTTCACGAGTGCGCGGGCCTTTGCGGCCATTTCTTGAGCAACTTGATAAGCCTCAAAAGCTTCTTGGTGCGATTTTCTTTCAACCATTTCGACCTGGTCGCGCAGTTTAATTATCAAGTCATGCGCCTCCTCAAATTTCGCTTCTGCGGATCGCAGTGACGATTCTGTTTCGTGTGAAACCTCGTCTCCCGCGTTATATTTGTTTTTAGCCATTTCCAGGCGTATCTGGGTGTTCGTGAAGTCTTCCTGAAGAGGCAATAGTTGGTCTTCGAGCGCTTTCAACCCCTTCGCCCTGAGGCCGTCATATATGCACTCTTTCAGTTTTCCACCAAGTACGCAAAACTTCTTCTCCGACTCTATGAAACTGTCCATGAAATAGATGTTTTCTGTGTTTTCTGTCAAAAACGCGCCGTCATTTTCGCTTTCAAATCGCTTCCTGCTCAGGAACGCTTCATTCGTTTGCTCGAAGTACTTGCGCATCTCCACTGAAGCAGAACTCATGGAGTTGAACATGATCAGCAGCCGGTGCAGCGTGTCTTCATGATCAAGCATACCTGTGGGGGAGATGTACTGGATAATATCAGAAATGGCTTCCCACAGAGTGGGGAACTCTGGCAGTTTCGCAGCTGAAGCCGCGAGGGATTCCCCTCTTCCCAAGGCCATGAGATCCAAGGACTGCAGCTGCTTCAAAGCCTTCCGAAAGCACTTTTCGACGCTGTCTTCTCTTCCTGGCTTGTTGATGAGTGCCTCTGCCTTCTTGACGTGGCTCTCCACTTCGTCTGCAACTTTCTCCGCCTTCTGCGTCTGAATTGCACAAGCCAGGCCTTCCGCAGCCGTAGAGAGTTCCTGCATCTTCTTCAGCTTCGCCTGGAGCAGAGCCCTTTCTTCAGCCGTGACTACTGGCTTCGGGGCTTTCAACTTTTGTGCAGCTTTCGCACTGCCTTCTCGAGGCCGCTCTCCAGGTTTTCTCCCCACCTGCGCGCCCGGACGCTCCTCCTCTTTCTTCGCCTCCGCCAAACTCTGCAGCTCTCCCGGGGGATGCAGCGGCTGCGGCGCTTTTCCTAACAAGCCCTTTTCTCGCGCTGCAGGGTGCACTGCTGCGCCAGCAAGCGCGCCCATCGCCACCAGCAGCAACACCGCGAGACCCGCACCCACTTTGGACCCGGTTTTACGTGGAGGTGGGGCACTTTGCACCTGCGAGGACTCAGTGGTGAGCGTTGCCTCCTTTTCGTCTTCGGTGCTTGACGGCGGTGCGCCATCTTCTGTATTGTTTTCGAAGGACTGGAGGTCATCTTCGTGGAGAGAATTCGTCCATGGCATCATTTTCCGCGATTTTCACGAATGTGCTCAGAGCACATGCATTCGAGCTATATTTGAGGGCACAAATTCAGGATTTATGGCCCGCGAAGAGTGTGCCGGGGCCCTTCGGGTGCCTGGCAGGCAAGCGCTATCGCAACCGCTCCGTGAAACGCGAGCGAAGAAATACAGCGAAGCGAAACTTGCCTCTTTATAAAGCCATAAGAGATGAATAACGGGTACCTTTTCGCGTTTTTGCAACTAAAAACCTTCTACGGCGCACCAAACAGTCATATTTTAGCATGGGGACGATTGTGTGGCGCCCGCCAGAAGACCCGTGGTCACAGACCTCGGGGTGGTTATTGACCCACAGAGAATGTACAAATAAAGATTTCCCTTCAAATCGCAATATTGGAATTTCGGGGGAAGAAACAGTGATGGCCCTGGACACTGTGTGATTTTCGTGCCGTTTTGCAAGTCTGGGAGGCTTGTCTGGGGCCTTCGCGTGATCTGTGTAATTTCGAACTTGACGTTGCAGGCTTACACAATAAATCCAATTTGGCGAAAGTTCGGAAACTAAAAGAAGGATGTACTTCGCTGAAAGTATATAATTTTTAATTTGGTTTCACCCCAAATTTTTGTATCGATGCGGCATTCTGGTACATAGCTACCCCAGGGCACCACCCCGCAGTACGCGGGTCTTGCCATCGAGTATTGCCCACAGAGGAGCTAGTGACGCATCCTGGGGTAACTTTATCTGCTAACTTTCCAAATACTTTCAACCGGAGACCTCAGGGAGAGGGAATAGTATATCAACTTTTCAAAATAAGTGCAACCGCAAACTAGACTGAGCGACGCCAGCTCAGTACCCTAGCACTCCAGGGAAAGCAGCTGTTCTGTGCAGCTTGACCCTCCCAAAGGTACTTACAGTCATTGAACTACACGTGCAGCTAGTGTTGACTGTACTATATAGACCACTTATAGCTATATTTTAAGGGAGGTAGCCGTCATCACCCACGGGCAATGAATTTCACAGCGTGTGTAGCCAGATGGGCAGTATCTAAGACCCCAAGCACATTCTTGCCGTAACAGAGCCTAAAATGACTCTACGTAAAATGTTCTTTCACCGTGTCCAGTGCGCTTCCCCGAAATGGAAACAGAAACCTCGAAGGCGGGATCTCAGGCGAGCGCCCAACGATAACTGTGTTGGATGGCGCGAGCGCCAGGGTCTTGAGAAATACCAATACTCATAAAATGCCCATCTACATGCAGTACCGCTACTGGATTGTAATATTTATGTCGGGGCCTGTCGTAGGGCACACAGCAACATGTGTAAAGGCGTCTTTTCTATCTCCCCACAGGAGATTGGGCGGCCAACTAATTCCGTCCTATATCATATTCCCAGCTGTGCAGACATGTGCGTAAAATCTCTAGGAGTTTAGCTCGACCTGGGCCTAAAAATTATTTATTGATCCGGTAAAACCAAGGAAAGCAGCTGGCTCCTACTAGGCTGCTGCTGCTAATAAGCTCCAGTTAATCGGGCACTCTTGCTGCAGCAACTTCTAGAAAGCACTGCTCATCATTGATTCCGGAGGTGAATGCTGCTGGCAATGATGCTATATTCACAATTTTGCCACTTCTGCTGCAGCTGACGCCACGCGCAGGCGGAAAGTGTAGAAACTACAGCCCAGTCATTGGCGGGTCTGATTCAAATATACCTTTTGTTACATGCTGCTACAGAGCCTGCCTCTAGCTTTTGTTGTTGTCTCTGCCTCATAAGGAATCTCGCTCAGTAAAGCTGCGGTCGTATTATCATTTATTGAACAAGCCATCACAACTATCACACGTAAGCAACACTGCACAGGAACAGCCACAAAGACAGATCCAGCATCCATTCGTGCAAAACCCGCAGCCTGGAATCCACAGATTTGCTGCGGGTCTTCACATCTGAACAGGCGCGCCGGGAAATGATGCTAAGAATGTCATCACGAATTTTCTGTCCTCCGCAGCATTTTTTCCCCTTTTTGTCTGGAAAAGGTCTTCACTTGAACGCAGCGTCATCTTCTTGAACAGCAGAAGGCTTGTCTCGTGCTTATTAGGATCCAACTGCCTCCAGCACCACTCTTCGCTGCTCCCCGTGAGCTCGAAGTCCGCATGCAATATGGTATAAGGAAGGAAAAAGCGAATGTGGAAATGGCTGTGCCCATGCGACGGAAAAGTCGAATCTTTACCCGTTGTGAAGGGCGGGCTATCTAACAGCGCGCACCGGGGCAAAGCGGCGAATGGCCGCCTCTGCAGATAGTGCATGCGAGTTGACTTGGAGTAAAGGACCCAAAAATGCGAATTGATTTGGCTTTATTGGCAGATGAAGTGGTGCAGGCAGGTCTCGAAACAGATAATGCGTTGTGCTTTTTAGCTAAAGAAAGCCTGTTTTTGCGGGTGTAAGATCAAGTTGCTCCCTTCACCTGTAGAAAGCAAACTTGTCGACTGCAGCAGCATTTTGCAAATTGGAAAATCATATATGTTCCTCCCCGCCACAAATTAAAACTTGGCCGCAAAATCGAGAAACCTAGAAGAGGCCTTCTGTCAAAGGCACATTGTGTACGTGTCCGAAATATCTGTATTTGAGCTTACAGCAACACGTTCGGCAACCCAAAGATAAAAACGTGTTTAAAACGAAAAGTTTATCCGGCCAAGTCCGCCGACGCCTAGTTGCAGCCGTAGCAGCGGGAAGCAAGAAAATCCAGCTCTGTCACACAAAGCTCCGTGCGCCGATGGCTAACCAAGCGGCCAAATCGAGCAACTATGTTGAAACCTTCCCAATTTGATCTCGAACCTCACTACTGTGGCGCCACTGGCCGTTACTATGTTGCTGTGGCTGCACGACGCGAGGCAGGATCACCAGGATACACCCACTGATTGCACCGGTGGTGTTTGCATTCTGCATCAGCTATGAAGTTGTAAGCTCCATAGCTTTTCACGGGCGTCGCCATTGGAAAATATTATTTTTCCTGTGCAGCTCGAGCATGAGCCCCGGAAAAAATGAGAAGACAGAATAAATAACCTTGTTCTCCCTGGCAAATAGATCGGTTGGTGCTTTGTTGCAGGGCAGCACGATCCCTCTGGAAAAGCACCAAATTCCTCTCGACATTCATCAGTGCAGCCGCACAGATTATTTTTCCGCGCTTCTCCCGACAAAAAAAGTAGAAAACTGGGGCGCCTCTGCGTCGATGATGCAGCAGGGTTAGAAGACCCTGAACAACTGGAAGTTGTTCCTTTCCCTGGGACTAATCCAGGGAACAACGGCACTATGCCGTTTATTGAATTGTCAGAGGAAAAGGAGGCTTCAAAACCGACAAAAGAGCTGCACGCGGCGGAGTCGTGCGCAGCGAACACAAAGAATGCTGATCAGCCTCGCAGTTCCGAGACAATCTGCCAATGAGGCAGTTCACCAGCGGGGCACAAACCACCTCAAAGAGGGTTTTGCACTTCTTCGAAATCTTCACCAGTTTTGTGCGCAGCGACGGCGCTGTACATTGCAGTCACTGCAGACCGCAACCTGAGGATGTTGTTCAACACTTCGACGAGTGTCTTTGCGTCCATGAGGGCCTTGTGGGCTTTGCTGTAGTCTTTGGCAACGGACTTGAGTGCTTTCACTGCAGCAAAAGTGCTTGAAACTTTGCACAACCTCGCAACTACGCCGGCTGCTTGAAGCAGATCGATGTCCTTCTTAAGCAGCTCCAAAGACTTGATGTCGAGGAGAACTAAACGCGCCTCCTCCTTGACTTTCACCAGCTGAACCAAAGACCTTGTCTGCGACTTCATGACGCTCAAAGCAGCTTCTGGGCTTTCTGCTTCCTGCGACTCCATAAAGGCCATTCGGGAGCGACTGACACGGCTTCCCACTTCGCCTTTGAGCTGCCTCACAGTTGACAAGAGCCCCTCGAAGACTTCAGTTCCGAGCTGGTGGAAGTGACCTGGAGAGTAGTCTTCAGGATCTAGCCACTTCTGGGCCCTGGCTTTCGCCTCTTCCAAAATGTTCAGAATTTCCTTGCCCTCCAAGACGCACAGATCGTGCATGCGCTCAGTTTCCTCTACGAACATGAGCTTTCTCAAGCTGAAGAGGCTGCGCGGCAGCGCGGGCAGCAGCGTCTTGGCTTCTTCGCGCAAGGCGTAGAGCAGTTCGCGGGCCTCTTGGGCAGTTTCCTGAGCTTGGTTGACAGCTTGAAACACATTTTCCCCCGAAGTGCTTTCCACTTCAGTGACCTGCTCGCGCAGAGTGGCCAGCAAGCCGTTCACTTCTTTGGCTTTTTCCTCCACGAAACTAAGTTCGAAAGCCTCCGCAAGAGAAGCCTTCACTTTCATTTCGTTTGCCTTTCGGGCAAGCTTCGCAGATAACTGAATTGGAGTGAAATCCCTCTGCAGCAGCAGCAGCTCTTCTTCCAGCGACCTCAACTCCTTCGCTCGGATGCCTTCGTGAATGTCCGTTTTCAGCTTCCCAGCGAGCTCGTGGAAACCGTTTTTGGACTTGACGCTGCTGTTCAGAAAGTGCAAATCGTCCAGTTTGTCATCGACTAGTTGGGTGTCTTCTTCAGTGTCGAAACGCCTCCTGGCCAACAAAACCCGACTGACTTTCCCGAAGCTTTCGCCCACTTGTTGAAATGCATGCTGCATTGAGTGGAACATGATCACCATGCGGTGCACTGTGTCTGCTGGGTCGAGGCCGTCGTCCACAAAAGACGCAAAATCTGCTGCAGCCTCGGAGTCCCAGAGAGAGAGAAACTCCCTCGACTTCTCTTCTACCGAAATGAGAAATTCACAGTGCTTCTCCGCGAGGTAATCCAAATTGCGCATGTTCTTTACTGCGTCTTGGAGGCATTCTTCTACGGCCTCCAGCTTTCCCGGCTCTCTGCTCAATGACTGCGCCTTCACAAGCTGCTGCTCCACGTTGTCTGCCAGCGTCTCAGCTTCTTCCGTAGCAATCACGTACACGAAACTTTCTGCAGAGGCAAAAAGTTCCTGGATTTTCTCCAGCTTTCGCTGCATTAGAGCTTCTCGTGGTGCCAGTGCTTTCTCTGCGGCATCTTCTTCTCGAGCTCGATCGCTAGGTTTCCGCTGCTCCTCCTCTCTTGCTTCCACTGCATTGAGCGCCTGCTGTGCTTCTCGACTCTCCACCGAAGGGTGAGGAGGCGGCTCGTTTTTCCCCAAGACATCTTTCCCCGGCAGTGGAGGTAAGATCGCCTTGCCGGCAAGCAAGCCGCTAGCGAGCAGCAACAGCAGCACGACGCCTACACTTGTTTTGACTTTCGCCTTTTGAGATGCTTCAGCACTTTGGAGCTGCACCTGAAAGCTATCAAGGGCTTCGGGCTCGGCTGCTCCATTGTCTGTGTGGGCGCTGTCACTGTACGTTGCAGTGTCCAACGACTGTAGATCCTCATCATGCAGTGACTTCGTCCATGTTGTCATCTTTAAAGTACTTTCCTGGATTTCCTTCACCGGTGTAGCATTGGAGCGCTGTGACAGGACAGAACCTAGGAGCACCCCGTGTCCCGGCGATGGCAGCACGACCCCGCTTCACAGCAAATGTGGAAAGAAACCCAGCCTAATCATGCCGGCAGCCTTCTAGAGCTCCCAGTTATGATTGGGTACACAATTTAAGTACCTTAGTAAGGAGATTCTGCGTTGCTGAGCTCAGCACTGGGGAGTTGTAATCGCCCCGCGCACACCGTCCACACAACAGTTTGCAGATTCACAGAAAAGGACTCCGTAGACACATCGTTGCATAGACGGCTTCTGTATCAAAAAAGTCCTTCTTTGAAATACACTTAATGCAGAAAATAAGGGACAAATCTGCATTTAAGCAGGCCTGTGGCAGCTTGTTCAGCCCTTGCTCGATCATGTCTCAACGCGGAGCGGTGTCCAATACACTGTTGGCAGGTTTGGGCAAAATCCAAGGGCCCACAATGCATTATTCTGCTACTTAATGTTCTCGTTCTTCGAGAAAGGCATGCTGCTTGAGCAAAAACGGACAACAGAGCCTCTTTGAAGCATGTGTCCGTTGGACAACGCATTGTGGGTGTTGCACACGTTCATATTCTGCGTAACTCCTATATGATGAGATCATCCTTCTAGTCATTTTCCTGAAGACATTCACAGGAATATGCAAATTTATAGCAACCCCTGTGTCTTGCGCGTAGGGCTCATGCTGTAGCGCCCGTGTAGCGTCTTGCTACGGATGTCTTCCACTGATGATTGGATATTTGCCATTGAAACTGATGCATTTAATGTTGCTTTTTGGGTGCTTTTGCTTTTTGTTCGTGGCTTTGCTTGCAAACTGTCTCGTCACACATAATAGAACTTCAGTTCTTGAAGCTCTGCTGAACGGGGGAACCGCTTGCTGGAACCGCTTGGTGCCAACCTCGATGGCGTTTGCTAAGTGATATGCCGAAAGCTGAGAAGTGTTTAATAAACGGACTATCTAGAACTTCTCCCAGATAAACTAAGGGCAGCGGCGTAGACGGCATGCCTAAAAAAGCAGCTGATCATGGGACTGCAAAGTTGATCGTGAGGTCAGAAGCATGCAAATCTAAGGCACTAAGCCTCTTATTGCCTCTTCGTGGAGAGCTGTCAGAGAGGAACACGGCAAACGCTAAGAAACAACGCCTCTATAGTGGTGGTGCAAGCTACGATGGAGGGCAAAAATAGCCATTAGGGGCAGTAAAGGGCAAGCCGCACACATTGCACAAGCAAGCGAAAAGGTGGGGCGAATGGCAGAGGTGGCGGCAACAGCCTGGAAACTGTGCAGTCAAGGGGTTTGGGGCTAGCGAGAACTCTCTTGCTCCATTTGAGCCAAGGAGTAAGAAAATGCTTGGCGAGCACGCTCGCACATCGGTCCCTTTAAGCTCGCGGTGCTTCTAAGCTTAAATATTTGGACTTCAAAAATGCAAATACTACGTATGTTTGGCGTTGTAGAGTTTCAGCCAGCCGTTACTAGGAATACACGTAAAGAATGAACTGGTCTTGAGGCACTACAGCAGTTGGCCGGGTCCGATTCCTCCACAGAATTATCTAATCAGTAAAGGAAGTAACTGAAGTGCTCTAACAAATATCTGCTAAGAGCTTAAACCGCCGTTATCTCGCAAAGCTCCAACCATTAGCCAGATTCACTCAAAATGCATCTCCTGTTCCCCAGAGCAACACCTCCTAGAATACCGCTGCCTACCTGTCAACTCAGAACCTGTCCGTACTTTGGCTTACACTTTCACTTGACTCTATAGAAGGTTCCGCTAGCGACAAGCTAAGGCTTTGCAGTGAACGGTGGGGTCGGGTCATTCTCCAGCTACTGACTCCCGCCCGCGGCTCGCTGTACACCGGACCTGGCTCCAGCAAGTTATAGGCCCCCAATGCTAGCAATTTAGCTCCTCAATAGCGTGAGTTGTAAAGCCTTCTCTCCAAGACTTTTTAGATTTCTTATTCCAGTGTTGACAGAGTGTCAACGGGTACTGACTCAAGCTACTGTGTAACCCGCATGCTCTTGTTTCTAGCGGATCTCAAAAATCCAGAGTCTGCGTAGAGGCAACTTATTTGGTCTGACGCTCCTCTCCAGCAAAAGACTAGCCCCCGTGTTCTGCAGAAACTCTACATGGATGTATACCTCTGCCGGGCTTTGGCTGCTGCGGGAAATTTGCCACAGTCCATCCGATTGAGTTTTAGCGTGCTTCGAGGTCGTCTTCAACTCCACACCACATTACACAGGTGACGCACAGCGTAGCTATTCAAAAATTCGGGAGAACTAGATAGCAGAGAAAAACTCTGCAGAATTGTTTTGCAGCGCATTTCAGGCGTTCACATTGCCAGAGGGCGCTGCTCTACTGCTGGGTGGGCGGCGTCCATGTCAACTGAATCTGGGCCTTCTCCCTATGTATATTTTGGGCTGAAATATATGCTGACATTAATGTGCAGCCCAGGGCAACTTACACCCAGCAGAAATGCTATAAAACAGCGCAGGCGTCTCCAAGTTGGCCCGGCGTCTGTAACTCGCAAGACATTCCAACGCCGCTTCAGACCGGCTCACGTAGACTTAGGCCTGCTCATTTCCAAAGTCGTAAAGCCCTAAGTGGGGAGACGCCCTCAAAGCAAGTGAAAGATCTGCGAATGTTTAAGGTGATGCAATTGCCTGCGTGGCTTGCCACTACGGAGCGACACGAGGTGTAGTGAGCGCGACCTCAGCTCACTCTTCCATGGGTTTACATACGGGTCCAATAAGGTCAAAGAAGCTCAAGTAGATCTTTAGAAGCACGAGGATTCAAGCCCGTCTCTATATGGCATCTTCGATACGTGTGTGCCGCACACTGCAGCTGTGATACAGTTAACTGCAGCCCCTGGGCTTCCAACTGAACACACTAGGCTAAGCCTGCGGACAAAGGAGAAGAAAACTTGCTCTAGGCTGACAAAAAAATGGAGGAGCTTAAAGTTGATGTGAGCTTGCCTATCTTTACCAAGCTTGTCTTCTCGGGAAAGTTAGCATCTCCTGCCCCCGAAGCCAGTCAAGCTTCCCAGTGCATGCCTCCTTACCAGTGTCCCAATCTTGGTCTTAAGCATTGGGAAAATTATCCCGGTGTCTGCAGGCAGATATCCAAAGTTTATCGGTCTTCTTGCGAACTGTGTGCTCTTGTGTACATCTCCTTCTCCGGGCCAATCAGTCTACAGTGCCGTGACCACTGGTGCCTGGTGTTTCATGTCCAGCTCGTAACTGCTTTAGTTTCCCCATCAGTTAATAGCTCTAGACAGTACTATACGTGACCATTGGCTCCAGCGGTCTGTTGCATGCGTAGGCAAGTAGTAAAGCAACATTCTTTGGCCCAGGGGGGCTCGAGAATATCTGAGTCTATGTATGTACATATACATATTCTGGCAGGAGAAGCCTTGAATCTGCATTTAGTTGATAAGGAGGTGCAGTCCCACTGACCCAGCCTTCTAGGCAGGGCAGGAAAAAACGAAACTAGCAATACATCACTAGAGCGGCTCAGAAAGGGTCTTTTCGTTTTGTCCTGTGTTGGCAAAACGGCATTTTGAAGAAATTTGAGAAGTCGCCAGCGCCTCTTGAGTTCAAAAAACAGAAAATGTTGAACTGTAGAATTTCTCCAAGGGCAAGATTGCCGCCACAGCGAACAGCCCGGCCACTCTGGGTAGCCAAAAGAAACTAAAAGGTATTATCAATTTTCATTAGAACCTTTTATCTTTTCAGAGAGTCAACAGCTGGCCCTGGATGCTCAGAGAAGCGGCGAAGCCTCCAAAGCAGCTTTTCTTTTGATTTCCTTTTTTGTTTTTTTATTTATTTGTGCCATCACAAAACCCCCCATTATGTGCCAATCACCCCTCCAGTGCCCACCCCGTGGTCTTAGCCAGCCTCGCTCGCGCCAGTTCTTTCTAGCTTTGTTTATTCTGCACTTCTTGGGGCCCGTGGCCTTCAGAATTTCTAAATATATTTTTTCATCCAAATATATTTTATTACCTTTTGGCCGCACGGATGGCCTGAAGGTAATAAAACGATGCAAGCCCTACAGCTAGCTCTACTCAGCGCCCCCACTAAGGCGGCTGTGTAAGTAGGGGGGGCTCGCTGGGCCTCTTTTGGCTGGCAGCAGCAGCAGCAGCAGCAGCAGCAGCAGAAGCAAAGTGCAGCAAGCAGCCGCTGCCTCTGGGGGAGCCTGTGGGCCCCCTGGCGCCAAGGCGCAGCAGCAGCAGCAGCAGCGGCAGCAGCGGCAGCAGCAGCAGCTGCGGCGCCGTCTTGTGTTGAATACGAGAAGCAGCAGCTCAGCCCCCAGCCTGCAGGCCTAGCCCGTGTGGGGCCCCTGCGGCGCTGCAGCAGCAGAGCTGCTGCTGCAGCCAGCCGAAGCCCCCCAGAGCTGCGGCTGGGCTAGTGAAGAGTCTCTGCTGCTGCTAAGAGGGGCCTAGAGTTGGCCTGAGGTTTGCTGCTGCTGCTGCAGCAGAAGACACAGCGCACCTCTTTGCTGCAGATCTGGTCTGCACACTTTGAGGCCTAAAGCCCTTCGATTTGCTGCCAGCTAAATCTTATGCGGCGAAATTAATCCAAAGAAAAACTTAGTTATCGAATCTGGGGAGCGAGGCTGCCCGTAGCAGCGTGAGCAGCACTTGCAGCTGCTCTGCTGCTGCTGCTGCTGCTGCTGCTGCTGCTGGTGCTCCGGCGGCCCGAGAAGCAGCAAAAGCAGCGCTGCGGATGCGTAATTTTTCCTCTCTTGAAATTGAAGTTATTCATTAACTATTAATTCAACCGGTCTTAGCCTTTGGTCGCTGGTACGTCGCATTCTCTCAGCAGCAGCAGCAGCAGCAGCAGCAGCAGCAGCAGCAGCAGCAGGACAGGTAGCAGGGTCCCGCCCTTTCCTGTGCGCGAAACTCTCTTTGTCTCTTTCCTCTAGCTTCTGTCTTTGTCGCTGAAGCAGCAGAAGGTGGCAGTCCAGAGCTTCGGGGTGAAGCCCGTTTGCTGCTGCTGGCGTTTGTGCACAAAGCCCTTTCCAAACCCTAATTTGGGGTTTACGTTCGAGGGTTTCGGGGCCTCTCGTGAAAGCTGTGCTTGTTCACGCTGCAGCAAGACTCTGTAGATTGGTTAGGAAGAAACCATCGGGCGCGGCTTAGTGCTGCTGGGGTTGGAGGTTTAGGGTTTAGGGTTTAGGGTTTAGGGTTTGAGGTCTACGTTTTGGAGGTTTTTGTGCCTTCAGTCCGAAATGTCTACCCCTTCGAACGGGCAGCAGCAAGGGGAGGAGTCCCTTGCTGCTCCTGCAGCAGCAGCAGGAGCTGCAGCAGGAGCAGCAGCAGCAGCAGCAGCAGACGGAGCAGCAGCAGCAGCAGCACCTGCAAAGACCGTTCGCATTTCTTTTAAAGTGTCTGGAGGCACTCACTTCTCCCTGGACGTCCACGAGGATTGGAGTGTACGTACACTCAAGGAAAAGTGCGAAGAGAACACACAAATTCCAGTTGCTGCGCAAAGACTCATCTACAAAGGTGCGGTCTAGGGTTTAGGGTTTAGGGTTTAGGGTTTAGGGTTTAGGGTTTACGGCCCGGGTTTCAGCAGAGCTCATTGCCTGTGCCGACCCAAGGCACTTTATCTGCTGCACTGAGTGGGGCTGGGGCTGCCGTTCCGAGGCCTGAGGGTTTAGGGTTTAGGGTTTAGGGTTTAGGGTTTAGGGTTTAGGGTTTAGGGTTTGCGTTCAGGTAGAATCTTGAAGGACGATGACTCCATCAGTTCCCACGGCCTCAAGGACGGACACATCATGCATTTGGTTAAGAGTGTTGCTGCTGGAGCTGCGAATACGCAGCAGCAGCAGCAGCAGCAGCAGCAACAGCAGCAGCAGCAGCAGCAGCAGCAGCAGACTCCCGCTTCCACGGCTCCTGCCTCCACAGGCGCTCCGGGTGCGGCTTTAGACGTGCATTGAGTGCTTGCGGTTCAGGTTAGGGTTTAGGGTCCAGCGCGTGAGGGTTTTGTTCGAGGGTTTAGGGTTTAGGGTTTAGGGTTTAGGGCTGGCGTTGAGGGTTTAGGGTTTGCGGCGCAGGCGCCACTCCTGGCGTAGGAGGAATGGACCCGTTCATGCAGGCGATGCTTTCTGGAGGTACTTCATTAGAGGCTCGTACAGAGCTAGGGTTTAGGGTTTAGGGTTTAGGGTTTAGGGTTTAGGGTTTAGGGTTTAGGGTTTGGCGTTCAGGGCTGGGGTTCAGGGTTTAAGGCTCAGGGCTGAGGGCTTGTGGGGAGGGGCTGTCGGCGGCGTTTGAGTGGCGCTGGCTTAGGGTTTAGGGTTTAGGGTTTAGGGTTTAGGGTTTGCGGTTCAGGCCTGGGGGGCGGCATGGGGGCCCCCATGGGGGCCCCCATGGGGGGCCCCATGGGCCTCCCAATGGGGGGCCCCGAAATGATGCAAATGATGCAAAGTCCTTTTTTTCAACAAGCAATGGAGTCTCTGATGCAAAACCCTCAAATGTTTCGAAGCATAGTTGAGAGTGTTCCTGCGCTTCGCCCCATGCTCGTAAACCCTAAACCCTAAACCCTAAACCCTAAACCCTAAACCCTAGGCGCCGCGCAGACCGCAGCGCAGGCCCTGGCAACGCACACATTGGGAGGGTGTGAGGGTTTAGCGCTGAGGCGGCTGCATGCGACGCGGCCGGGCTTTGAGCCAAAACAAAAGGCATTAGGGTTTAGGGTTTAGGGTTTAGGGTTTAGGGTTTGGCGGGGTTTTGCGCGCAGCCGATGATGCAGGGGATCTTGGACAACCCTGAGCGCATGCGCGCGATGTTTAACCCTCAGATGATGCAGGTAAACTAGGGTTTAGGGTTTTCGGCTAGGGTTTGCCTTCGGGGCCTAGGGTTTAGGGTTTAGGGTTTAGGGTTTAGGGTTTGGGGGTGGCCCGCAGGCGACAATGCAAATGCACCAGGCTATGCAGCAAATGAGGCAGCAGCAGGGGGCCCCTGCTGCTGCTGCTGAGGGGGGGGCCCCCTCGGGGGCCCCCATGGGCCCCGCAGCATTTCTAGCAGCAATGCAGGGTACAGCTGGGGGCGACTCGGGGGCCCCCGGCGCTGCTGCTGCTGCTGCTGCTGCTGCTGCAGCAGGGGGGGCCCCCGCGGGGGCCCCCGCGGGCACGGGGGCCCCCGGGGGGCCCCCCAACCCCCTCGCGGGGCCCGGGGGGGCCTCTCTAGCTGCTATGATGCAGCAAGCTGAAGAGATGATGAGATCAAACCCTGAATTGATGTCTCAGATGATGCAGACTTTTATGGGGGGGGGGGCCCCCGGGGGCCCCTCTGGGGGGGCCCCCCCG